TTAGAATATATTTGGGTCATACAATTAGCAGGGGAAGCAACTGAACCAGCAGAGCAGGGTCTTGATCTATTGTGCAAACAAGGTTGCTAAGTGATGGTTTCTCTTAATTAATCTCGAGCCTAAGAACAACTTTAAACTTCTGAAGAATAGCAAGAACATTTTTAGATTTGTGGAGATCTGCAAACTGCAAAGTGGGAGTGAGAGACAGAACCTACCACTTTGACCCTAAAGTGCTCAAGGTTACTCAACCTCTTGCTTGTAGATTTGAAGGATCATTACCTATATAAACCAAGGAAAGAGGAAGATGGAATCTGCTTCAACCCCTTTTTGCTCCAGTGAATACAGACAGAAACTGAGGCTTGAATCTACTCCCCCTCTCATGCTCAAAAGCTTTGCACACGTCACCTTATCCTGGAAATTTTGCATGTACCCTGTCATACGCTTGCTCAAGGCCCACTTCAACAACATTATTTTCCTGGTCATTTCATTGAACACCATTAAATCATCAATCACCTCCTCAGTCACGAGAGCCTCATCTAGAATTTATCAACCTCTATAATCACGCTGAGCTTGCGAGGTCAAAACAAAACCAACTCTGTTTGCAAGGATTTTTTTTGAAGTGAGCAGGCTAATCTGCTTAAAATCTCTCGCCTTCAAAAGATCACTCCTCTGGAACAAGGATGCAAATGTACTCATAAGTCATAACAGTCATAATAAGCTCCATTGCTCCTGAAACAGACAAAAGTATTTTCAGATATAATCTCATCAACATACTGAATCAATTATGCTCATTCTCAAACTTCTAGCATAACGGAAGCTTTTCTCACCACCCCCTTCTTCTACCTCTTCCCCCTTGTACAACCAAACTTATATAACTTCGACTCTTCATTTCACTTTAAGCACTCATGTTAGGTATTTGACACTTGGACATTGCTGGCACTTAGAAACTTCATTTGGAACCAAAATTTGGCAAAATTTTCAGCAGATGATCGTGTCTAATACTGGACACATACTCTTATATGACTCTTCTAGCCTAGTGAGTAACATAGACCACAACAACCCTTTTGCCTTTTTCATTTTGATTAGATTTGGGCAATCCTGATTGATTTTTATCTCATTTCTGAAATCTGAGGTAAAAGCTTGGTTCCTTGAAGTTGATTTCAGACCACGGAGGTATGAACTTAGGGCATGCCTTCGCCAGCCATTATTGTCATCAAATTCGCTCATTCCCTCTCCCTGTGAACACATAATGAACGCATACGATATGTTGAACTGAATTGGACCAGGCACCCTGAGTTTCCAGTTATGTTTACTTAGTTTAACGGACTTGAGCAGTATATTTCACATGTAGCGATAGTGGAACTAAACTATGTTCTAGCCGTCTAGGTACCTCTGGACCAAAGTGAAATGAATGAAAAATGGAGTTTTTTTGTTTATGTTTTAAAATTGGTCATATAGTTATACTCAATGTTCCCATATTTTATTCATTTAATCAAATTCTGATTCCTTTTGGCAACTTTCCTTGCAAATTGAGTGTATCCTGTTATTTCCTTTTGGCAATTCAATGTTCATTGTTTGATCTCTCTTGTTCACCTATATTGAAGCACTGCAAACATAATTAGTTTTTTATCTGATTTGTTTTATGCTGAATGCATTATTTGCTTGTCAAGTTTGTTACCCAAACGTTTTCAATTGAATTGCATTGATTCTCTCTCTTACATGCTGTGCTAATCACTAGCATTTTAAAGCTTCTCTTATAATTGTTCTTTATATCTTTATAATATGTGGCTTTACGCTCTTTTTCCCTTTGTGGTACATGTAATTTATCTTATACTTTATACTCTTGTCTTTATGTAGCTTGGACACTTTTCCATACGCTGGAACAACCACGACATGTGAGTCACTCTACATGGGAGTTCCTTGTGTTACCATGGCTGGCAGTGTGCATGCTCATAATGTTGGTGTTAGTCTCCTTAGTAAAGTCGGTAAGAAATTACAGCCTGTACTCCATATTCATTCTCTTTGCAGGTTAATTTACTGCATTTCATCATTTTCATAATTATTACAGCAATTCCAAAATTTTATTCTAATACTGAAGTGGTAATTGATACCTCTACACTTACATTGGCTTTGGGCAAGCTGCAGCCAGCAAATTGTTATATATCTATTTATGCTGATCTGAGTTATCTCTATTGGTTCTGTTGTTGTTTCAGTATCAAATTCTTGATCACAGGTCTGTTGGTTTATTTTATTTATTTTAAGGTATAGAAGTTCCAATTTAACTTCACACGTGTATATTGCTGTTATTGCTTCTAAGCAAGTGCTTCAGCTATTGGTGTTTGACAGATGAAGCTAAACTTTATGGGAAGTGCTTAGAGCTTTTTTTTTTAATTTAATTTTTTATTTTTGGATTAAAGTGCTTTGAGCTGTTCAAGCTATACTTCAATTGCTCATTTGAAATGTTTTGGCTGACCATAGTGAGGATGGAGGAAATGGAACTTCCTTAAGAATAGGAAATTCCCACAACAATCACATCAAAAGTGCCCTTTCCCTCCCTGCACACATAAGTTACTCTTCCTACATGTATACCTAGGAAGTAAGCGTTTTGCAGTTTCAGCAAAGAATGTTCAGGCCATTTCCGAGAAATTGTTCAGGGAATATAAATAACATTCCAAAATTTTGCATTTTCTACTAAAGTATAATTTTTATATAGAAAAGGAACCTCTTTTTGGACATAGGTAAAGTTATCTTTTGGTGTTTAAAATTAAAACTGTTTGCCTCCTTTTTTATGCAGGGTTAGGTAATCTGGTTGCCAAGACTGAAGATCAGTATGTTCAGCTGGCAATTCAGTTGGCTTCAGATGTGACAGCCCTCTCGAATTTAAGGATGACTTTGCGGGATCTTATGGTCAAGTCACCAGTCTGTGACGGAGCGAATTTTACTCTTGGTTTAGAGGAGGTATATCGAAACATTTGGCGCAGGTACTGTAAAGGCGATGCTCCATCTTTGAAACGGTTGGAAATTCTACAGCAGCAGCAGGAAACTGTGTCTCAAGAGGCTAGTGTTGTGCCATTAAAAGTCATAACCTCAAAAGATGATTCTCCTCTCAAAACAAATGTTTTCAACCCAGTCCCCCCACCACCCGTATTGAGTCTTGCTACCTCCGAAGAAAATGGAGCTGTTAGCTGAACAATGGCATAGTTAGGAATTTTGAATATCTTCTCTTCCCCTGGATGGGGCAATGATAAGTCATACAACGACAAAAGGATCATAGCATCATGGACTGTTGGAGATAAGTGATGCGATCTGGGCTACACCCTGTATCAGGGTTTTACTTGGGCTGTGAGGATGATTTATGTGGTATGGTTGAAGTCCTAGTATTATGTCAACCCACAGGTAGTTGACAGATAGTTAATAGGTCCGGTTCTGATTATTCGTTCACCCTTCTGGCTTATTGTGTGTCTTGGGGGTGCATCAAGAAATATCCATACCCTGTTACTAGAATTGTATTAGTGTATTATTGATTTGTCGGTCAACTGGCGATTAGGTTTTTTGAGGATAGTCAGAGTGGTTTTTATGTAAGCAAATGTTACAGAATGTATAGGCATTAAATCAATAGATCAGTGTAGTGCTTGCTTATTGAGATTTTACTTTGGATATCCACTTAAAACGTTGGATACCTCTTGGCTTGATATAGATTTGTATGAAACATTCTTAACGTGTGATTTATTCATCTGTATCTTCAAGCTGCTCAGCTGCTACCTTAACTTTCTTGATCTCAATGTTTTCTTTCCCTTTATTTCGGGTGATAGATTAAGGCCCTGTTCTTTTCACCTTAAAAAAAATAATAAGTAAAATTAATTTCAATTCAGTAAAAATAAGTTTAGTTCAGTAAAATTAATTTCATTTCAGTAAAAATAAGTTCAGTCCAATAAAAATAAGTTCTGTTCAGTAAAATTCAGTTTTCTTAAAGAAAAATTATAATAGAAAATCAGTAAAATTAATTTCAGTTCAGCAAAAATAATTTCAGTTCAGTAAAAATAATTTAAATTCAGTAAAAATAATTTCAGTTCAGTAAAAATAATTTCAGTTCAGCAAAATTTAAGGTGAAGAGAACGGGGCCTAATTGATGCAGCATTTACAAGCTGTTGCTAATACTGGAACTGTCAAATGTTACGTGTACATTATACAGAGCATTTATCGTGAAACCTATACTTTGTTACCACTTAATCAAGAATGTCAAACACATGGTAAGTACCTTGTGTTATTCATGGTCTTGTACTCTTATTCATTATAGCCTAAAACAATTTACGGTTTTTACTTAATTAAAATATTCCATAAATTTTAAGGACTTCTACTCTTTTATGACCTTAATTAGACAGGTATTTAAGGTAAAGGAACCTCATCTAAGGGAGGGGGGAAATAACTAAAATTCCTTAAATGAGCCCCATTGCTTACACCATATGAAATTTGAGGTAGAGAGCGACACCACTACTCCATCACCTCAACCTCGGTATATAATATGCTGCCTATTTCCCGTCAGTCAGTTGACCAGCATGTATATACTTCGACAAATTAATATATTTGCTGCTCATGTCATCATGTACTCCTACTACTTAGCCATTGACCAAGCAACAAAAATGCTTTTTTGTGGAATTAGTTGCAATTTGTTCAAACCTATCATAATCAAAGATATTATACAATATACTTTATTATGTACATTAATCTCCTCGTAGTATATATATAATTTAAACAAAATCTAATTCTGTTTTGCAATCAGATTGTGATTTTTGTGACTTATGTTGTAAGTCCATTTAGAATAATCTTAAATTCATCACTCAACTCAATTTTACGTTCCAAATCTTTGTTTAGATATATTGAGCTCATGCATATATTTCTTGATGATTTGATAAAACAATATCTGATAATTGACAGAGCAATAACAATAAATCATATCTTATGTTCTCATTTTGTACATTCATTCAATATTGGACTAAATTTTAGCAGGATCTTGTATTGTGTTTACAAATATTGTGCAATCCTATTACATTTTTTTTTTATTTTGTTATAAAAAGGGATATAACCTTCTCTTCCTAAGCAGAATCACAAAAAACAGCAATCAAACTTTCAATACTGTTAATCTTTCTCTACTTTTATTACTTTATTTAAGAGCTCGATCTTTGAGTTGAAGATGAGTCCTATAATAGCCTTGTTAGCAACTTCCTTTGCTTTGCTGCTTGTTTCGATATCATGGAGGGTACTAAATTGGCTTTGGTTAAGGCCAAGGCAGCTGGAAAAGCAACTAAGGAAGCAAGGCTTTTCTGGTAACCCTTATCGCCTGTTGTATGGAGACATGAAGGAGAGTTCCAAGATGACAAAGGAGGCATTTTCAAGTCCAATCGGAATCTCTGATGACATTGTGCCTCGTGTTCAGCCCTTCACTCATCAGATTGTTAAGAACTTTGGTATTGCTTTTAAGTACTAACAGTTGGTGTCATTACTGTTGCTTAACTGTCACAAAATTTCTGACTCTTGGATTCTGATACCGATAATTTTGCAGGTAAGAACTCTTTTGTATGGTTTGGGCCTGTACCATGCATAAATATCATGGAACCTCAGATGATAAAAGAAGTAATGACAAAATATGAAGAGTTTCAGAAGCCAAATGCAAACCCTCTTGCCAAAATGATTGTCAAAGGGATTGTTGCATTAGAGGGTCAGAAATGGGCTAAACACCGAAAAATAGTTAACCCTGCATTTCATTTGGAGAAGCTCAAGGTTCATTTTACTTTCTCATCTTTCTCTTATAACTAACTGAAATATACAAGATATGTTTTTTACTTTTCTCATTCGAATTATACTGATTTTTTTTTTCTGCTTTTTCTTTAATTTGATGAAGGCCCTTCAAGGAGAATTCTATGTAAGCTGTAATGAAATGATCACCAAATGGGAAGAAATGGTGTCATCTGCCGGATCATGTGAGCTAGATGTGTGGCCGCACCTTGATGACTTGTCCGGTGATGTTATCTCAAGGGCGGCATTTGGTAGCAGCTATAAGGAGGGAAAGAAGATATTCACACTACAGAAAGAGCAGATCGCAATTGCTATGAAAGTACTGCAGCAAGTTTACATTCCTGGACTGAGGTATGTCTACATACTTTTGGTATTTATCTGCAGTTTCCGAGTTCTGTATAGAATATGGAAGTGTTCATTTTCATGCACTTCTGTGTAGGTTTTTGCCAACTAAGACGAATAAGAGGATGAAGGAAATCAATAATGAAATGCGAGTTTTGATGAACAATATCATCACTAAAAGAGAGAATCAGATGGAGATGGGAGAGGCTTGCAACGATGACTTGCTTGGAATTTTGTTAGACTCTAGTTCAAAGGCAGTTCAAGAACACGGAAACAAGAAGAATGTTGGGCTAACTATTGATGAGGTAGTTGAAGAGTGCAAAGATTTTTACCTAGCAGGGAGGGATACAACTTCTTGCTTGCTGGTGTGGATGATGGTTATGTTAGGCAAGCATGTAGACTGGCAAGCTCGTGCTAGGGAGGAGGTTTTACGCGTTTTTGGGCAGAACAAACCAGATTTCAACAGCTTGAACAACTTGAAAGTTGTAAGTACTAATATTCAGATGATGGCTTTTCTGATTAGTCTCTAGATTTGTACAGAAGTCTGTTAGCATGCAGCATACTGATCTAACTCTTATTTGCTTCTATTTCATCCTAACTCTAGAGTGATTACTTTGATACAGATGACAATGATAATAAATGAGGTCCTAAGGTTATACCCGCCTGTGATTCTGATGTATCGTATGATCCACAAACCAAGCAAAGTCGGGGACAATATGCTGCCACCAGGAGTACAAATCTGTGTACCGACAATGCTTGTACATACTGATCCTGAACTATGGGGTGAGGATGCCACTAAATTCAACCCTGAGAGATTTTCTGAAGGTGTAGCTAAGGTAACCAACGGCCAAGTTTTTTACATCCCCTTTAGTGGGGGTCCAAGGGTATGTGTTGGGCAGAACTTTGCGCTGCTTGAAGTGAAGATGGCTTTTGCAATGATCTTACAACGTTACTCGTTTGAGCTGTCACCATCTTATTCTCATTCGCCGTTCCTTCTTACCAGCCTTCAACCTCAACACGGTGTCCCCATGATCTTACGGAAAATATAGAATCTTTGAAGACTCCGTGCCTTCACATTATAGTCATATATATAATTTACTATGTAATTCAACAGTGTAAAACTGTAATCGTGTGTTTTTTTTTTTTCCAGATGTTTGAGATTGTTTGCAAAAATATAATTTTCACTATTGTATCAAATAATACATGATTGATATGCTGAATGATATTTTTGTATGAAAGAATGGTTCAATGTTTTAGCACTGTGTAGCATCTCAACTAATCAATGCTCCTTTTGAACTTTTTAGCACAGGCCATGCATGATCATTCATCATTGCTCTACGATTTGGGATCCGTATGCTTATTTAGGCAGATGATAGCATAACATGCTACACGTATGAAAGTCGCCTTGGGCAAACGACGACAATAATTATGAATGTGGATCTTGTCAAGTGCAAGGTTAATGGTCTATGAACAAATGGATATCATAGTGGATTATTTTAGCCAATACTTTAGAAACTGTTGTTTTATAAGCAGGTCTTATTTCTCTGAATTCATGTTTGTTTCTTGGCTGCATGAAAAACTATATTGTCCTTTCTGTCTACAAACTTGTCCCAGTTTTTCATTTCTACAATTTTTTACTTATTAACCTTTAAAATACAACAATGTTGAATTATAAATTATAAAAACACTTTGGCCCTGTTTGGTTTGATGTAAAAGGTTTTCATGGAAAATGAATTTTCCATTTTTTTCCCATTTTCCTTTGTTTGGTTTGTTAAGGAGTGGAAAACAATTTTTCAAGGGTGGAAAATTCCATCTTTAATGATGGAAAACCTTTTCCTTCCAAAAACAAGGGAAGCCACATTTTCCTCTCTCCTCCTTACCTCTTTTTTTACTTCCCTCTCATTCATCCCTACATTTCCACTCTTATTTTTTATTTTTCTTGGATTTTTCTTGTATGCAACCAAACAAAGGAAAACTAATTTGCAATTGTGTTTTTCCTTGAAAATATGTTTTCCATGAAAACTAATTTTCCATTGAAAATGTTTTACATTAAACCAAACAGGGCCTTTATGTAAAATCATTCCATAATGTAATGCATAAGGTTGTACAAAATACTCAAAATGAACTAAAATTTATGTATCCTTGTACACATGAAAGATTGAGAGATGGAACTAAAATTTATGAAATATCTGATGTAAAAAACCTTCAATAATTGAAGAATAAAGTTGTATATAGAATAAAAATAATGAAGGACTTTACATCCTATAATATATGAGATGTACATGATTCATTCATTTTGTAATACAATATCATGCTCCTTGACTTGGCCATGAGTAATATACAAAGCCAATTCTAAAAGTTGGACAACTTTTAGATGTAAGCCATACAATAGTGTAATGGTAATGCGGCGCTAAAATTATGCATTACATTTGTATGATTCAATTAGATATAATAACTGTACACTAGCAGGCATGGTAGTAAAGCAAGCTAAACAGCTTTGCATGGTTGGAGAATTGACCAACAAACTTCACAAGACGTGCAAATTTTGACCATCAGGAGAATAAAGATGGCCAACTCAACCTCTTGAGGTATATTGAAGAGAGAGAGCAACGATGATCAGGATTTGCATCTCAATATATAGTATGACCATACCACCATTGAAACTGAGTGAGGTAGATATATATTGTAAGACGAATGAAACACGATCCCTGCTAGACCAGGGTGGTTTTTGGCAGACTACTAGAAGACAGTGCAAAGATCTCAATGTGAGGCCTACATGGGTAGTTAAATAAATTAGATACAAAAACATGAAGATCACTGCAGTCCTCGTTCACAACACACCAAATAGGTATGCACTTTTAATATAAAGGAAGCATTTCTATGCCAAAATTGTAGTAACACTAGAAATGAGATATTTAGATAGATCAAAGATTGAAACACACCTTTCATTTGAAGAGGATGAACATGATATTACAACCAATATCATCCCTCTGAAGACAATGCTTCCTCAATGCTCCTTATTACACTGCTAAGGCTGCCACCACGCTCAAGAGCTTTAACAGCTTCCTTGTGAGCCTGCTTATGCCACTTAAGCAAATTATACGACTGCAAAACTGCCCATCTTGCTTGATTTGACATCTGCATAATATAACAGACAGCAACACTTAAATATATTTGCTTGAAGTTCATTTGCGCTGTGGCCTCAATGGTTACTAAATTATTACAAACCTGCGGAGTACTTAAAGGAGGTTGCAGAAGTACACAGATACTTCTGAATAGATTCTCATCATTTTCTCCACCCTCAGCTTCACCATAGACAAGAGCTTCTGCTGCAATACCAGCGAATAGCACCATGCAGTACCTGAACAGTTTAATCTTCAGAAGCCAAATGCTAAAACTGACAACAAATTGACTTTTTCTTGCTATAACCTGAAGCCCCTATGAAGTAGATAATGCACACATAATTTTTTCATGTTATTAAGATCATTCTATATTAGCATTTCAGTGAAGAATGAGTCAGCATTGTGTTATAGATGTTACAAGTTTCACTGTCCAGAAAAATATGGAAATGAATATTAAGATACCACATACAACGTCATTCCACATACCAAAATAAGCAAAGAAGAAATAACAAAGCGGCAGATAGCTGGATTCATGGAAAGTAAATTTTAGGTCCCGGTTATATACTCCGTATAAACTAATTTAGTTTTAGGAAATTTAGAGATTACAAACCATCCTTCCACATTGTACATAACAGTGATTCTTTAGCCCCGGATATTCTACATGGTTCCCATCTAGTTTTGACGAATATTGATGGAAGAAATATATATATGAAATTAATAAGGTGCCCTTACAATATTGGGCACAATTATGCCTTACACAATATGTAACATCTGTTAATTTCAGCTAATTACTTTCATGGTACTGAAATGACTAAAAAACCACTCATTTTAAAAGAGAGAAAAATTATAGAATAAGATGTATTTCGTATTAATTGAGCCGAAAGATTAAAAGTGTACCATATGATTCTTTTTTAAATTCTTCATCCTTTCCAATGGCAGCTTGCCAGTCTGCCACTATAGAAAATTATACTTACATCAAGCATCATTAAAGGGATGATTTGAGTCAAGCATACCCTCCACCAGACCCAAAAACCAAAAAACTTTAATGGGAAAATGATCAACCAGAATCTGGGTAAAATTCAGAACCACCAGATTCTCCACCCAATTTTTTGCATATTATCAGAATTCAGAAATGCATGTTGGCCTTGCAACGCCAAGTGGTAATTTTGTGGTCAACAAACAATTTAAAGGTCTATTGCATTACATTTTAAAGGGCAGATATAAATGTAAAGTTTCTCAGTCTCTCATACATTATTGTCAAAACTAAAAGATGACCTCGTATAATTCCCCTTGTTTTATATACTTTTACCCTATCATATCCTTTTTTCATAATATCACACTCATTTTCATCTCTTTAGAGTGGGGGGGACACAAATATGGCAGTCTCAAACATTACCTGTCAAAAGCAGTACTGCTAAGTCGTCCTCCAGCAAGCTCATTCTCCAATTTCTCATCCCAAAATTGGGTCCCTGCCTGCAATAGAAAACAGCTTTTCTCAACTTCGAAACTCTTGTCCAAAAGTATTTGCAACCAAATAAATGAAATTGCAAACTGGAGAAAAAGAGAATGTACAATTAGATCACCTTTTATTTTTTTTTACCCCAGGATGCGTTACCATTCAAAGTAGAAAGTAAGGGTTTAAATATGCAGCAGCTAATAATGGAAAGAGTTCAGAAAAGTACAGCACATGCTACAAAAAGTAAATCCATAATAACTAGGCAGCAGCAGGAGAGAGCAAGCAGAAGCCAGCTAGTGTCATCCACAGATTTCACACCAACAAAACCGTGTACCAGTCGAAGGCAATCACAGTAGCATTAATGATATCTACCAATAACTCACCAGTGATCCAATTACTCAGAAATTTCTGGGTTTATAAGATCATACTCTATTTATCCAACCTATTTTTGGATATCAGGAATGCCAGCAGTTTCTGCTCACAATTAATAAACTACTTCCTCGAATTGAAAACAAATAAATGATGCATTAAGGTTAAGCACAAGCATTAAACAATTATAACATGGAATAACCACACTATCCTTGTTTATACATAGTACTTCATTAAAAGAAAAAGAGGTGGAGGAATGGAATGTATATACCTTGACAAACTTTATCTTAACTACAAAATACATCCAATAATAAGGATAGCGAAAAATAATCTACAATTCAACTGGAGGGGTATATGACCGTTTAGTAGGTTCCAGATGTTCAATCATTTGAAATTAAGTTGGGGTTTGACTTAGTGCCAGCAAACAAGTCCATTGCGTTGAGTTAGATTGCCTTAATTTCAAACCGTTTATAGGTTGAGTCATTTTGGTTTAAGATGGATGCATAAAACTCAAAAAGCTTCAGTTTCCGGGATGACCCAATGGATTGAGAGGATCTATAAACTTTCTAATTTTAATTTTCAGCATTTAATTATGCGGCTTTCTTCCTTGATTGCTAGGTAGGTTTACTCTCATTAGCAAAACACTCGAAATCCCTATGCCCCTCCTTACATAAAAACCTCAAACAATCGGGCTAGAAGGTCATCCATAATTCTTAGCTGGGAAATTCCCATTTATTGGCTTCATATAGTTGTTTTGGCTATCAGCTTTCCCAAAATCCTTCGCTTCTCTCCATAATTCCCACTCTTAGATGCACACTTGACTTGTAAAACATACAAGTGTACAGCTGTCCCATACACCTCATCTACTGACTTGAATCTCTTTCCTGCCAAATCTTTCTGTAACTAAGTTTAGCTTAAACCTGGGGAAAACCTTGACAAGTTCAAAAGTTTACTGCAGTACTCGTTAATTGATATACTTCCTCCATTTCTTCTTAGTTGCAACACTTTCCTATTTTAGAAATTTTTAATTACTTGCAACACTTTCCATTGTAACATTTATTTCTCTCTATCTCTCTCAAACCCACATGGGTCCCTCTTATTTTTCTCTCTATCTCTCTCATCTTCAAAAATTGCCTAGGAGACTGTAACTTTAGAAGTGTTGCAACTAAAAAAACGGAGGAAGTACTATTATACTAATCAAGGCTTCATATGGTGGGTAAAACTTCTCCCTTGGCACAACAGCTAAAGACCTCCCAAAGTAAGGTCGCTTCACCTCAGCTAGTTTCTTAAACATTTCACCCACAAGATTGGATTGCTCATGGTGGTTTAAGGTCAAATTTCGGGCTAAAAGTCTGATAGCATTGGCCAAAGCATCAGTGTTAGCCATCTCGGTCCAAGATGGCAAGAACAATTCACAATTCCTTTATAGGCTTATACAAAACAAGGAATACTTCACTTATCACAACACATTCACGCATCAAACTATCACTTATTTAATGCTTAGTTTGAAAGGTAATTATTTCACTACTCCTATATTAGTTCATTCTTTAAGAAATAACTAGTAAATTCTAATCATTTAACATCATTAGGAAATAAACAAAATAAATTAATACTCTAGTTCCCACAAAATTTATGTTTTGAGATTTCAAGGAGTGGGTATAAGAAAAGAATCCATAACATTATTAATATTCATAATCATAGTATGCATTAATGAAAACAATACTTTATCCTCTTATAAATCCAAAAGTTGTGGACATATATAGCCACTTATTTTATAAATAACTTAAAAAAAGTATTGTCTTTATTTAAATTTCCCTAAAGGGATAACAATAAAATTCTTGTCAATCTTCTCATCATCTCCAAAGAATACTCTTTGTCTAGTTTATCTTCTTTGTATTCCTTAACACACTTAAATACTCTTTGTCTAGTTTATCTTCTTTGTATTCCTTAACACACTTAAATACTCTTTGTCTAGTTTATCTTCTTTGTATTCCTTAACACACTTATAGTTTGGCTTCTTAGCTTGAGTAGAACTCTTAGAGCAATGCCAACAATGAGCAAAAATTATGCTCATGAGCAAAAATTTGGGTGAAATAAAAAAAAAAATTAAAAATTAAAAAAAAAAAAATGACTTACACCAATGAGCAAAAACAAAATTGCTCATGAGCAAAATGAAAAATGCACATAGGATGAGCATTTTTGGAGATGAATAGTAACTATGTGGGGCCCACAAGGCATGTTAAAAAAAAAGAGAAAAAAATGATGTAGTGGAGAGAAATGTAAGTGAGTATTAGTAAAAGTAAGAGAGAATGATGTGGTGGAGAGAGAACACTAAAGAAATTTTTTATGATCATTGGTGGGATTAAAATACGATCATCAAAATGCTAATGAACACGAGAAGTAGAAAGTGAGTAAGTGAGTAGAGAGAGAATAAGGAAGGTTTTTTTTTTAATCATTATTGGCAACGCTCTTATAACTCTCACTCGCTCTTTCCTCAACTTGCAGCTTCATCTCACTATACTTCTCACGTTGTTGAACCACCCATTAGTTTATAAATAGGTCTTCAAGTATCCTATCTCTAGCTTTAGCCATCTCTAAATGAATTCATCACCTTTCGAAGAATCATCCATAGTTAAAATCTTGAGCATCTCTTAATCAATGGTGTCTTAGTGAGAGGAACTAGAGTCATCATCACTACTAATGATGATATGGTTCTCACTCTTCCACACTCTTTTAATTAGTACATGCTCCCTTTTGATCTCCCAACGAAACAAGTCTCATTTACCCTCAACTATTCCTATAAGCAATGGGGTAAGGTTTTCTATTAGGCAAGGAAATAGGTTGAATGTATTTCCCAATACTCACATTGTCATAAGTAAGTTTCTATAGTAAGCACATATTCTAAGTACAGAGCCGCTAGAAGCAGATGAAGTCATGGCAATAGTACACAATCTAGTAAATGTTCAAGGAACTAGCTCATGTGAAGCCACCTTATTTTAAGGGGCGCCTCCATTAAAACTAGATAAGGGAGTTTGATGAGATTTGTGCAGCCATAGATTGCCCTAGGGATATGAAGGTGAATCAAGCTTCCATGTATATGCAGGATGAGGCAAACATTAAATCTCCAATTGCCTAAATTCCTGTGAAAATGATAAATTTTAAATGTCAAGAGCAAAGAGAAATGGAGGTAGTACATCTTACTACAAGCTAAGAATTTCACAAGTCTTTGTTTAGGTAAAACGTATATCAGCATTAGAACCTTTCGGCTCATAGGCCTCTTCATTTAAAACAAAAAATAAATAAATAAAGAAGCAACGTATAAAAGGCTCATGGCGCACGAAAATGATAGAGATTTCACCTCCTTGTACCATAGTGAGCCTCATTGAAGTGAGGCATTTATAAGAATGGGGAAAAATGGAAAATAAAGCTAGAGAAAAAGTTGCGCCTCCGCAAAATCACCTCATCTACACAAAAACAGGTGCAAGGCCCATGAGCGCGGAGGGGGGGGAGGTGGGGAGGATGTTCCATGGTTATGGACACTAGTAATATTGCTCAACTGAACAAGGAACTAATAATGTAGCTCCATTGAACAAAGGTATATGCAATTTGTTATGCGTTTAGGTGTTTAAATTAAGTCCTTGTTTTGTTTAGAGTACTCAATCAAGGCTAGGAAGTGTTTTGATGTTTTAGAGAGTGACACCAATTCACTAGATTGGACCATCTAACAAGAAACATTAAAATTACAAGCAGGTCCTAGTTGCATATGGCATACATAATTGGTTCATCTCAAGAGCTGAAAGCACAATGTGCATAAGACTTGGGCAGAATTTGGTAAGATGGGCTTTCTGGACTACATAGATTGAAAGCTAAACTTTTACTCGCAATTGCTTGATCGTCACTTTTGGAGATTATCCAAGCAAGAATTAGATTGTTGAAATAAAGTTATATGAGCAAATGAAACAATTTTGAAGGACAAACAAAAGCATGGTTGGACCATGCATGTGATTGCGCCATGAAAAGTTTTAGTAAAAAACCATGTATATCTATTACTGAGGCATTGATTTATCATATGGTTGTCTCGCAGATCATTATTCTAATTATCATTGATATTCCTATTACGACGAGTTTAAATATATCAGCTTGGATACAGTGAAAATATATCAATTGGACAGCATGTATTTCATATTTATTAAGTGGCATGATCATATGAATACATCGGGATCATGTGTAACCATTTTGGTAGTCAGGTAGGTATGAATTGGGTGAATGTTAAAAGTGAATAATTGTTTTGCTAAACCCTAAAATATCTGTTTTCTACTTGGTTACTTAAAAGCACCAATGTTGATTGGTGCAAACTATTGATAAGGAAATTTTTTGCTGTATTCCAAAGATTGGTTTGGATAAACTGTTGCACCTGGGAGGTAAGTCAAGTCTTTAGAAGAACAAGTTTTGCATGTGTCAAAGGTTGCATCCTAATCAGCCACCAGTCCTAATTGTAGAGAAAACCCAAAGGATAGTAGAATTAAGGGGATCAGGAGATTCCTCTATGTGTAGCGTAGACTAAAGATTTGTGCATCTCCCTAAGAACAATGAATGTGGCAAAGAAAGAGAAGCACATAAAGGGCTAGACTTACAGTTTGTTTGGATA